ATGTATAAAATCATATTCAGGAAATTATATTTTATTTCTATATAAGGAATAAAACACATTTGAGATACAAGTATGTTCTATCAGTTCCGACCATTTCTACTATGTACATGAATGTGCTTAAAAACCTATCAAACGTTATATAAAATTCATTAAGAATTTTTTTCCCTGTTGAATGATTTAATAAGTTGCTTGGACCATATCTTATCGCTGACTCATTATTAAACCAACCTTCTTTCTTTACATAAGAGGGTACAACTAAATATGCGGACCTTGTTCGTCAATATTTTGTAGAGAAGGTCCGTTAAATTTAAAAACAATGTCTTGGAGGTCAGTATATCTAACATATATATCACATGTTTTTCTAATTTCCGTATCTTTTGGTAGGGTTTTGAGTGTCATGCATTAAGGTTTCAAACATTTCACATATCTTCCACATCCTTGTAGTGGTTGTTTGAAAATAAACATTTTGTCGTCATCTTCAATATCTTTCATATACCCAAAATACCGTTATATGGCTCCAATGGCTCTCCATACTTTCAGAGGTAAACTTTATGACATTAATTTTGAAGTGTACTGTACGCATGTTACATAAACATTATGGTATTTATTGTCATGTTTCTCAGGTTTAATGTTCTTTTTGAGCTCAAATACGAACTTCAAAAATTGAAATCGGATAAGACTGGGTTTGTTGGAGGGGTGGGCTTCTCTTCCATGTCTGACACACGAAGTTCAGAGGCCTAAAACTTCCAAAAATAGTGTAAAGCCGCGGGCCGTACTTATAATCGAAATACGCCTAGGAAACGACTACTTCCGGTTGCAGGTCAATTTGAAGTCAAAAATCGGAAAAAATAGGGAAATTCCGTATTTTTTGTGCAAATGACCTTCTTTAGACTGCTGTACCCAGATCAGTTTCACTCCGACCTAAACACTTTTGGGGTTAATGTGTTCACTCTACATGCAGACAACAGTTGAATACATCTATCAGCATCTACGGTCTTCCAGGTCAAGAAATAGGACGAAAAATCGTCAAAATTGACGCTTTTTGCGCCTGATGATCACGAAACTTGCTCTGACATTTATAGTAGTATATGTCCGTGAATTTGCAGATCCAAGTGCATGTATAAAATGGTATACAAGGTTTGGCAGTGTTCAGTTTGGCACTTGCTATAATGAATTGTCAGGAGAGAGACAGGAGGGCATATATTCTAGCCATAGCTCTACAACATGTAGGCCAAATTCACCTTAACATGCACCAATACTTACAAGAAGGCGTCGAAGACGTTAGCGAAGACTTCCTTATGGCAGCAGCCGTAGATATCACAGAGAAAGCAGTTCGGATTGTATAACCAACTATTAGTTGAACTTTGACAAGAAGATCAGAGCAGTTTCAGAAATTTTATGAGAATGCCCGTAGAAATGTACCATGAAATTCTTCGGAGGAACCAGCATTGGTTATCCAAACAATATACTTGGTTCCGGTAGATTTTTTTGTTATGGCTTAAAAACTTTCCGGTTTTTTGTTATTTCGAATAAAGTAAAATAATCAGTACGCAATAGTAGCGTCCGCCTGTCTGATAATCGAGTCACGTCCCTAATTTATCAATAAGCTATTGAAAGCTGTAAGTGACCAAGTACACAATATTAAATCTAGAAAAGTAAAAACAAATGGCATTACACATTGTATGTAAACAGTTGTCAGGGAAGTAGGCAGTGCAATTATTGATGAATATACAGATGAGGTCATGACTCATCCAAATGATCCAGAGGAATGGAAAACAATTGCTGATCAATTTATGCGCTTATGGCATTTTCCACATTGCTGGGGAGCGTTGAATGGAAAGCATATTGCCATAAAGAAACCGACTCGTTCAGGTTCATTATACCACAACTATAAGGGATTCTTCTCCAAAGTCATGCTAGCTCTGGTTGATGGTGATTACAAGTTTATACGGGCAGATGCTTGAGGCAAGATATTTATATAATTTTATGTAAAAGTCCCTTAAAACGTTAGAAAATACTTACAAATTTTATTGCTTGTGATACTGTTTCAGAATCTAATATAACAACTTCGTAAATAAGCAAAGCGTCCAACCCATAAAACAAAGGGTTCAAAGATCAGCACAAACGAAGCAACAGATCTTCGTGTATATATATATATATATATATATATATATAAGTCTAAATTGAAAACAACGTTCAAACCTATGATTGCGTTGGATAAAAACCGCAATTTTTATACATGTGCATGCAAAACAAATTTCTTGGTAGAGGGGTCTAAATACAGCACAAACAACATTTTCCAAAAGACCAAAATGAGTGAAAAAGTATATTTTAACAAAACGCATTTGACTAGCAGGTCGAACAACTGATGTTCTTAAACCCTGCTGACTGCCATTGGCGATTGCCAAATAAACGGATCACAAGATGTAACAAAATAGATCTTATTATTAAATTATTACCAAACAGAAAACAATAAACTTGCGGAAAAGATGGTATACCGCAAACATGAGGTGCAAAAATTTGTACACCATATCCGGATTTCGACAATTAATGTCTCTTCAGTGATGTTAGGAATCGAAACGGTATTTGGAAGGCCATATAATTTACCTCAATTTAGGATAGACACTTGAATTCTGAAAGAGTCAAAATAGGATGAACGGATCATATAAACCCGAAGGCAAATATAATACAAGCCCAAACGAAAAATATAAACAAGTCTAAATTGAAAACAACGTTCAAACCTATGATTGCGTTGGATAAAAACCGCAATTTTATACGTGTGCATGCAAAACAAATTTCTTGTTAGAGGGGTCTAAATACAGCACAAACAACATTTTCCAAAAGACCAAAATGAGTGAAAAAGTATATTTTAACAAAACGCATTTGACTAGCAGGTCGAACAACTGATGTTCTTAAACCCTGCTGACTGCCATTGGCGATTGCCAAATAAACGGATCACAAGATGTAACAAAATAGATCTTATTATTAAATTATTACCAAACAGAAAACAATAAACTTGCGGAAAAGATGGTATACCGCAAACATGAGGTGCAAAAATTTGTACACCATATCCGGATTTCGACAATTAATGTCTCTTCAGTGATGTTAGGAATCGAAACGGTATTTGGAAGGCCATATAATTTACCTCAATTTAGGATAGACTCTTGAATTCTGAAAGAGTCAAAATAGGATGAACGGATCATATAAACCCGAAGGCAAATATAATACAAGCCCAAACGAAAAAATATAAACAAGTCTAAATTGAAAACAACGTTCAAACCTATGATTGCGTTGGATAAAAACCGCAATTTTTATACGTGTGCATGCAAAACAAATTTCTTGGTAGAGGGGTCTAAATACAGCACAAACAACATTTTCCAAAAGACCAAAATGAGTGAAAAAGTATATTTTAACAAAACGCATTTGACTAGCAGGTCGAACAACTGATGTTCTTAAACCCTGCTGACTGCCATTGGCGATTGCCAAATAAACGGATCACAAGATTTAACAAAATAGATCTTATTATTAAATTATTACCAAACAGAAAACAATAAACTTGCGGAAAAGATGGTATACCGCAAACATGAGGTGCAAAAATGTGTACACCATATCCGGATTTCGACAATTAATGTCTCTTCAGTGATGTTAGGAATCGAAACGGTATTTGGAAGGCCATATAATTTACCTCAATTTAGGATAGACTCTTGAATTCTGAAAGAGTCAAAATAGGATGAACGGATCATATAAACCCGAAGGCAAATATAATACAAGCCCAAATGAAAAAATATAAACAAGTCTAAATTGAAAACAACTTTCAAACCTATGATTGCGTTGATAAAAACCGCAATTTTTATACGTGTGCATGCAAAACAAATTTCTTGGTAGAGGGGTCTAAATATATATATATATATATATATATATATCATGTACTGTGTTTCAACTCTAGATTCTACTGACGAGGAAAGGTAACACTAGGCCACCGAAAGCTGAGTTTTTAGTTTTAGCTAGGTGGCCTAGTGGTCTAAAGCGCTGGACACAGTGTAGGCGGTGTTGTCTCGATATCCTAATAGCATGAGTTCGAATCCCAGCGAGGAAGAATATATACATAATTACTCTAAATATCAGCACAACAATGTTAAATCTGCAAATTTGCTTCTGCATATGTCAGACTGACATTGGCACATACTGAAGAGTCTATCTATAGACCAATTATCATAACTTTAGGTATTATTTGTACTGAGAAGTTGACCTAATCACGAAAACTGGTCGCAGAATAAACAAAGCCATTCGACCACGAACTGATTGACCTCTGCCTCTTCCTTTGGGTGGCATTTCGAAATGAATTGTTATGTATCCGGAAGTTGTTCAAACACCCCATAATTACACGTCCCAGACACGACGAAAGCACGAATAATCGTCCCAGATACGACCGGTACGCGTCTCAAATACGTTCAAGGGACATTTTTCCTTCGTGGCGTGTATTTCATCTACGTTAAACAAACGCCAAACATACGCCAACATACGTTAATTAGACGCCCAAAAAACGCTTATGAACGCTCCTCGTAAGCCCTAAACACGCTTAAAGCTCGTTATGCACACGATACATATATGATTGACAAGTTGAATGCGTCAAAAATTACTAGCGTATTGGCAGCGTTCATGGTTTTTGACCACGCCCGGCGTACGTCGGTGCTATACGCTGATATGTGACGCCGGTATATAGATGAACTCGGTATACGGGGATTACCAATGTGGCGAAACAGTATAGTTACTGTAGTAAACAATATGGAAAAAAGGGGATACTTTAGTAATAAATATTTACAATTAATCGTTGAAAGGAAGAAAACGGAAATGCATGATAAAGCAACTGGTAAAAACGCTAGTGTTATTAACTATAATGTTTGAAGAGTTCTGCAAAGTTTCTATACAAAATCATTGAATTTGAAACGGTTTTTTTCAGACATGCAATCTTCATAATCTTTCTAACTGTATACGAAAACTGAAAGAAACGACAAAACTTTATTACTAATATCCAAAAATCTGTTGTTCAAGGTGACGAAAAAAATAATATTTATAGAAAAATGAAGTAGATTATATATGATAGAATGCTTACCTATTTAAATGCTGTAAATAATGTCATTTAATCTGATGCAAATAATATTAATACTGTTATTTGTCATACATTAACCGAATTTGTTTATGTAATTTTCGAGAATATTTTTATTCAACAAAACTATGTTTAAGTTTTAAAGAAGTCGTTAGATATTGGAAACGAACTTTAATGGATATAAGAAGATGTGGTATGAGTGCCAATGAGACAACTCTCCATCCAACTCGTAATTTGTAAAAAGTAAACCATTATAGGTCAGAGTACGGCCTTCAACACGGAGCCTTGGCTCACACCGAACAGCAAGCTATAAAAGGCCCCAAAAATGACTAATGTTAAACCATTCAAACAGGAAACCCAACGGTCTAATCTACATACTAGAGGCTCTAAAGAACCTGTGTCGCTCACCTGTATCGACTGTTGTTTTAGAAATTATGTAAAATAAGGTTAAAATCATAATTAATAGTATCATATACTCTAATAATGATTGAGGCCAAGTTTGGTTTAATTCGGCCCAGTAGTTAAATTAAAAGCAGGTCATCCCATTGTAGTCTTACAATAGTTACTGAAGACCCCTTATCATTATTTCATTATTTAAATTAGTTTTGACCATTTGAAATTGTATTTTTTTACAATTTTCCCTTAGACTTTCATAGTAAACCCCAACGTTCTATTTTTAGCCATGGCGGCCATGTTGGTTGGATAACAGGGTCATCGGATACAGTTTTCAAACAAGATACCCTATTAAAAATTGTGGCTAAGTTTAATTCTATTTGGCCCAGTAGATTAAGTGGAGAAGATTTTTGCAAAAGATTACAAAAATTTACGAAAAAATTGACTATAAAGAGCAATAACTCCTTATGGGGTCAATTGACAATTTTGGTCATTTGACTTATTTGTAAATCGTACTTTGCTGAACATTATTGCTGTTTACAGTTTATCTCTATCTATAATAATATTTAAGATAAAAACCAAAAACTGCAAAATTTCCTTAAAATTACCAATTCAAGGGCAGCAACCCAACAATCGTTGTCTGATACGTCTGAAAATTTCAGGGCAGATAGATCTTGATCTGATGAACATTTTTACCCCCACGTCAGATTTGCTCTAAATGCTTTAGTTTCAGAGATAAAGTCAAACTGCATTTTAACCCCCCCCCCCCCATGTTCTATATTTAGCCATGGCGGCCATCTTGGTTGATGGGCGGGGTCGTCGGATACATTTTTTAAACTAGATATCCTAAGAATGATTTAGGCCAAATTTGGTTTAATTTTGCCCAGTAGTTTCAGAGGAGAAGATTACAAAAATTTACGAAAAATTGTGAAAAATATACTTTAAAGGGCAATAACTCCTTATGGGGTCAATTGACAATTTTGATCATGTTGACTTATTTGTAGAAATTACTTTGCTGAACAATTTTGCTGTTTACAGTTTATCTCTTTCTATTATAATATTTAAGATAAAAACCAAAAACTACAAAATTTCCTTAAAATTGCCAATTCAGGGGCAGCAACCATACAACGGGTTGTCTGATACGTCTGAAAATTTCAAGGCAGCTAGATCTTGACCTGATGAACATTTTTACCTATGTTAGATTTGCTCTAAATGCTTTAGTTTCAGAGATATAAGCCAACAACTGCATTTTACCCTTATGTTCTATTTTTAGCCATGGCAGCCATCTTGGTTGATGAGCGGGGTCATCGGATACAGTTTTTAAACTAAATACCCTAAGGATAATTTAGGCCAAGTTTGGTTGTATTTGGCTCAGTGGTTTCAGTGGAGAAGGTTTTTGTAAAAGATAACAAAAATTTACGAAAAAATGTGAAAAGTTGACTATAAAGGGCAATAACTCCTTATTAGGTCAATTGACAATTTTTGTCATGTTTGACTTATTTGTAGATCTTACTTTGCTGAACATTTTATTGTTTACAGTTTATCTCTATCTATTATAATATTCATAATAATAACCAAAAGCTGCAAAATTTCCTTAAAATTACCAATTCAGGGGCAGCAACCCATCAACCGGTTGTCTGATGGGTCTGAAAATTTCAAGGCAGATAGATCTTGACCTGATGAACATTTTTGCTTTAAATGCTTTAGTTTCAGAGATATAAGCAAAAAACTGCATTTCACCTCCATGTTCTATTTTTAGCCATGGCGGCCATCTTGGTCGATGGCCGGGGTCATCGGATACAATTTTTAAACTAGATACCCTAAGGATGATTTAAGCCAAGTTTGGTTAAATTTGCGCCCCCCCATGCATGTTGTTCGTTAATTCGCGGATAAAAGTATTGCCGCAGGGATTTTTTGGAGAATTAAGATTAGGCTGGATAGGGTGTCAATAATGTCTAACCCAATGTTGGACCTATGGTTTAGACCTTCCGTCAGTTGTCTCACCAGTGCCTTTTGGTTCAAGAAACCTTAGGCCACTGCCTTGCATATGCAGCTTTTGCGGATAAAAGATTTCCGCAGAGAATTGTCGACAAATTAAAGTCTGCTTAACAAAACCCAGATGGGTATCTCACGGACGTCTTACAAAATATGTCCACAGGTGGGGTCTGACATTTCTACGCAACCACATCTCAACATTTAGAGTTTTTCAAAAATATTCATTCTACGCTAGGTGCAAACAAAAGTTTGGGACCAACGGTCTGCCTGACCGAAACATTCAGTTGAGGTTTCTGATGAATTTCCTTCAAGATAGGTCCTAAGTTTATGTCTGACATTCCAACCCTCAACCTCAGCTTAACTTTAAGAATTTGTTAAAAAAAAAACTATGCCAATACTTATGTCCCGGCACTAGATGTAAATAAAAGTTGGTTTCCTACGGTCTGCATGGCTACAAACACAAGAAAGGGTATCTCACGGATTTCCTACAAAATAGGTCTAAAGTCAGGGTCTTGCATTCTAACCCCTTTTCAACTTTCAGAAATTGTCAAGAATTCTATACGGCAATGCTTTTGTCTAAATAGTTGTATAATTAATATAGATAATTATCAATTTCCTGCACACCATAGTTAAAAATATATATCCTTCGTCTGAAATTCACTGTTGATAAATATATCTTCACGTGTTTCAGTACTTATACATCCTCTGTCCTAGCATTCAAGTAGTTGGCTTTGGTAGTTTAATCCAGAAAATCCCTTCAGAAGCCTAAAATTTATAAAGTATAATTTTATTTGTTTTTACAGAAAAAGAGATTGATTCAATCGCATAGTTTTGTCTTACAAGCAGAAGAATAGTATAAAAGAAATGTTATATTCTTGTAGCGTAGAAATATTGTTACTTTTAGGAATAATTTTACAGAATGCTGAGAATATGGAAAGCTGTTACATATAATATAGGAAAAATAATTTCTCACGGAGAAGTCGATATCATAACAAGTATTGTTGTTAGGATTTTAATATTATAAAGAACAATACAATGTATTTCTCATAGATTGATTCATTGTGTTGTAAGCATTATATCTTGTAGCAAAAATAATTCATGCATATTCACGACAACCTTTTCATCCAAAATTCGACTGATTTTTTTAATTTTCACTATTATTGAGAGACTACAGGAAATCATTACAAATATTGTTCTAAATGTTTGTGACCTACAGTAACGTTGTATAGCTTTAGCACTTTTTCTATCGGACAACAAGACCAGTATAAATAGAATCTCATGTCAACCCATCCATTCCTTTCTGAACTAATGAAAGGGTAACAATGAGATACAATTACGGAGACGAACGTTGTCAACCCCCTCAGGTCATCAACATTTCGGCTCAATCTACTAACGGAGACGAACCTCAGATCATCAACATATCGGCAAATCTACTAACATTTAGCACCTCGTAATAAAGAGTTGCATTAAGATTTTTTTTTTTAAATGATAATATAACATATAAAATGAAAACCCGGACTCGAAAATGTGCAAAAGCGACTATTCAAATACATTTGCTATGTCCATAAGGATTGCTAATGGATTAAACAGGATTTTTTTCTATGTCATTTCCAAAGTCATATATATTAAACTAACCAAATTTCTTTTTAGCTCACCTGGCCCAATGGGCCAAGTGAGCTTTTCTCATCACTTGGCGTCTGTCGTCCGTCGTCGTCGTCGTCCGTCAAATTTTACAAAAATCTTCTCTGAAACTACTGGGCCAAATTTAACCAAACTTGGTCACAATTATCATTAGGGTATCATCTAGTTTAAAAAATATATCCGATGACCCCGCCGGCCAACCAACATGGCCGACATGGCTAAAAATAGAACATAGGAGTAAATTGCAGTTTTTGGCTTAATCTCCGAAACTAAAGCATTTAGAGCAAACCTGACGTGGGATAAAAATTGTTTATCTGGTTGATATCTATCTGCCCTCAAATTTTTAGACGAATCAGACAACCCGTTGTTGGGTTACTGCCACTGAATTGGTAATTTTAAAGAAATTTTGCAGTTTTTGGTTATTATCTTAAATATTATCATAGATAGAGATAAACTGTAAACAGCAATAATATTCAGAGTACGATTTACAAATAAGTCTCAAATTGTCAATTGACCCCTTAAGGAGTTATTGCTCTTTATAGTCAATTTTTCTTAATTTTTTGTAATCTTTTACAAAAGCTTCTCCACTTAATCTTCTGGGCCAAATAGAATTAAACTTAGCCACAATTTTCAGTAGGGTATCTTGATTGAAAAAATGTTTCCGATGACTCTGTAATTCAACCAACATGGCCGCCATGGCTAAAAATAGAACATAGGGGTTTACTATAGAAATCTAAGGGAAAATTGTAAAAATAACCAATTTCAAATGGTCACAACTTGAAAGCTATTTTGAATAATTATAAGGATTGAAAGACTACAATGGGATGACCTGCTTTCAATTTAACTACTAGGCCATATTAAACCAAACCAAACAGTAGATACAGGTGAGCGACACAGGCTCTTGGGAACCGCTAGTTCTCTGTTCTTATTTTTGTTCGCTGTCCTTGCTTTCAATTAAAAAACAACATTTTTCAGAAACTGTATACATTCATATATAGACGATCGTTTTATCAAGTCAACCAAAATCACAGTGTCTTACCGGAGAAAGAGAGGCGATAGAACCAAAGGGATATTAAAACTCATAAGTCGAAAACAAACTGACAATGCCATGGCAAAAAAAAATACCAAATGACAAAAACAGTACACAAAACACAACATAAAACTAAAGACTGACCAACACAAACCCCACCAAAAACCGGGAGTTACCCCAGATGCTCCGGAAAGGTAATCAGATCTAACTGATTGGTATCTAAAGATCTAAGACCGAAAAAAAAACATGTCGCTTACCTTGATAAAATAATACTTCAGAAATTAGTCGTATAAAATTTCCAAAAAGTTGTTAAGTGTCATCTTGGATCGTTAAATAGAAGAATACAATTGGTCTAGATGTTTAATCAAGTCAGCAAATTTCGATTCAAGAATGCAATTAACTTATCAGAATTTTTATGGCAATGAACACATGTATGTGATTTTAGCTATAATTACTAATATATTAATAAAGGTCAACATTTTTTTCCTAACTTCCTAAGAGGAGGTATCCCGAAAATTCCATAAATTATAAAAAGATTTTACAGAAAAAGAGATGCGAAATATACCAGAGGGACATTCAAACTCATAAGTCGAAAATAAACTGACAACGTCATGGCTAAAGAGAAAAAGACATATTGTCTGGAAACTAGAAAAATGCTTATTTTTTGCCCCTTTTTGGCCCCTTATTCCTAAACGTTTTGGGCAATTACCCCCAAACTCAATTCCAGCTTTCCCTTTGTGATATGGAACTTTGTAGTACAATTTCAGAAAGATCCATAGACTTACACACAAGTTATTGTCATGAAACTAGAAAAATGCTTGTTTTTTGCTCCTTTTTTGGCCCCTTATTCCTAAAATTTTGAGGCAATTACCCCCAAAATCAATCCAAGCATTCCCTTTGTGATATGGAACCTTGTGGTACAATGTCAGAGAGATCCATACACTAACACACAAGTTATGTCTGGAAGTTACAAAAATGCTTATTTTTGGCCCCTTTTTGGCCCCTAATTCCTTAACTGTTGGTACCATAACCCCCAAAATCAATCCCAACCTTCCTTTTGTGGTATTGAACCTTATGGTAAAATTTCATAGAGATCCATTCACTTAAACTAAAGTTAGAGTGCGAAAACCAATGTGTCTTCAGACGAAGACGACGACGACGACGACGACGACGACGCCAACGTCATACCAATATACGACCGCAAAATTTGTTTGCAGTCGTATAAAAACGATGATAAACATACTTTTTAACCTACAATACGAAATCAAACAGACCTAGAACAATCCAATTGCACGAGGTCACTATCTGACAGACAAACAATAGTATACAAAACACAACATAAAAAAAGACTGAGCAACACGAACCCCACTAAAAATTGGGGGTGATCTCAGGTGCTCTATTTTATGCTAAAACGGGGAAGAGCGTACTGTGACCCATTTTTTCTTTTGAAAGCATTTATAAGATATGAAGAAGGTGTGCGCATGCGCAAGAAGATGGCTGCTTTTTTGTGAAGCTCCGAGTTAGAGACTTTTATTTCTGTTGAATTCTCCCAGTTATCCGCATTATCTAAAAGCATACACAGCCATGAGTGACCTTACATACACAAACACGTTTTAAAACAATTTTTAAGTGATGATATAGACTTTTGATTAAGTTGTGGCCTTATTACTAATCACCACGTGGTAGCTCAGCATCATTGCCATCAAACATGGCGCCCAAAGTAACAAAAGACTTTTGTAACAACTGTTGTAGGATGTTGTGTCAAATGACAGAGCTCTGTCGTGTTCAATATGTGACAAATGGTTTCACATTAAGTGTGAAAGAGTTCCAGTAGCAGATTATGATTTTTTACAAAAATCCGACGACAGCATTCAGTGGGTATGCAAGGGTTGTAAAGGGGCATCCCAAAAAATTTGTAAAATGTTAACTTTAATGCACACAAGGCAAGATAAGATAGAAACAGAAGTTGTTGGTCTCGCTAAGAGTCTCAAACATTGTAATGAAAGAATCAATTCTGTGGATAAAATCTATCCGAGCTAAATGAAAATTTACCTATGATAGTATCGAAACAAATAAGTCAGATTATTGATGATAAGTCAGAAGAAGAGAAAAGAGAAGCCAATATAATTATATTTGGTATACCTGAAAGTGAGGAGGGGGATTCGAGAATTAAAGATACTGAATTTATTCAGGGGCTTTGTAGTGATTCATTAGGGATTGATAACATTGCTATTGATGAGATTACACGGTTGGGTGCAAAGCCAAAGAAAGGCTCTGGGAAATTCAGAATTACTAGGTTAATTGTGAAAGATAATACATCTCGGAATAACCTCTTCCGCAACGCTTATAAGTTGAAAGACACCAAGATAGGTGCACACAAGAAAATAGGTATAGGCAGAGACCTCACAAAAAAAACAGAGAGAAAGCAATAATGCTTTACGCATTGAATTGGGTCAGATGAAAAAGGATTTTCCCCATATGAGTTGGGCCATTCGTCGAGAGAAAATAGTTGAATTGCCGAAATCTGGGATTCCTCCATGGGCCCCAGATAAGTAAAGATAACAATCGTTCAGATACTTCAAATGTAAATACGTTAACAGTTAATGTTGATAATTTTGTTCCAGTTAATAGTTATGTTTCAGTTACAGTTAATGATAATAGAGATGAGTTGAATATTTCGCAAGATGTTTCTGATCACCAGTCAATTAGTGACGAAAAGAAATTTACTTCGGAGGATAAAAGGAAATCTTTGAGAGTTTTGTTTTCTAATGTAGACACCCTGTCAAATAAGCGTTCAGAGTTTGAGTCATACTTATCAATTGAGAAGCCACATATTATAGGTTTGTGTGAAATATATCCTAAAAACTCTATGGATAAATCTATAGCATCCATGCTAAATCTACCTGATTATGACAAATTTATACCTGACAAAATGGGTGATAGAGGTGTAGTTATTTATATTCATAAGTCTTTGACAGCTTTTAAAGTTGACATTTTATCTGAATCTAGTTTTAATGAATCAGTGTGGTGTGAAGTTAAGTTGGAAGGAACTGATAAACTTTTATTAGGATGTATTTATAGGAGTCCGTCGTCTGTACCATCAAATAATAAGAAATTGAACGATTTAATATGTCAAGCTTGTAATTTAAAGTATAGCCATTATTTAATTATGGGAGACTTTAATTTTCCTGAGATCAAGTGGGTTGATAATGAAGTATCAAGTGGTATTAACACAGATCCTTTTAAATTTTATGAGTGTATGCAGAACAATTTTCTCTTTCAACATATATGTACACCAACACGTTTTCGTACTGGTCAAAATGCTAATTTACTTGACCTGGTTTTTACAAATGAAGAAAATATGATAGCCAAAGACTCAATACAAACTGATTCACCAGTGGGGAAGAGTGACCATTGCATGATAAATTTTGATTTTTGTTGTTATTTGAATAATGAGAAAACTTCTGGCGATCGTTTTTCATATTTTAGAGGAAATTATGAGCTTTTAATGAGAGTCTAAACAACATTGACTGGGATGTTTTGCTAAGTAATAAAAACGTTGATGAAATGTGGAAAAGTTTCTCTTCTGTTATGTCAGAAAATATTGATAGATTTATTCCTAAGAAAAAGACTGACCGTTGTGGATGGATAGAGCTACTAAATCTGCATTTGTCAAGAAACGTAAATCATGGAAAAAATATAAATATTCAAGAAGTAACTTGTCATATGCAAAATATGTGAAGGATCGTAACGAATGTACAAATGCTGTTAGAAATGCTAAACTTAGTTTTGAGCAAAAAGTGGCCTTAGAATCAAAGATTAATGTTAAGTCGTTTTGGAATTATGTTAACAGTAAACTCAAGACTAGATCAGGAATAGGCACTCTTGAGAAACCGGATGGTACTTTAGCATCCAGTACTGCTGATAAAGTTGAAGTTTTAAATCAGTGTTTTACTAGTGTGTTTACTCATACAGATGACTTGAAAGATTATGATACTAATTCAGAGTCAAACAATTTTTTGGATGATATTAATATTTGTCAGGAAGATGTGCTAAAGAAACTTAATAAATTAAAGACAGATAAATCTGCAGGACCTGATGGTCTACATCCGAAAGTTTTATATGAAGTAAGACATGCAATTTGTTATCCCTTGTTTAAAATTTTTGATAAGTCTATCAAAGAGGGTAAAGTTCCAGATGATTGGAAAAACGCCATAGTGTCACCAATATTTAAGAAAGGGAAGAAGCTGAACCCTGGTAATTACAGACCTGTTAGTTTAACATCCGTAGTATGTAAGATCTGTGAATCCATTATTAGAGACAATATTATGAAGTATATTCTCATGAACAATCTTTTTACAAGTAGTCAGTATGGCTTCCGACCAGGTAGATCATGTGTTACTCAACTCCTGGAGGTTTTGGATGAGTGGTCAGAATTAATTAATAATGGTTTTCCACTGGACTCAATTTACCTTGATTTTTCCAAGGCATTTGATACCGTGCCTCATCAGCGCTTATTTTTGAAACTTGAAAAACTTGGAATAAAGGGATGCATTTTGGATTGGATAAAAAGCTTTCTATCCAGGCGTAAGCAATGTGTTCGTATAAATAATACAACTTCAGCATGGTCAGATGTTGTGAGTGGTGTACCTCAGGGGAGTGTTCTAGGACCAGTTCTTTTTTTAACATTTATAAATGACCTTCCTGATGTAGTAGAGGGCATAGTGAAAATGTTTGCCGATGATTGTAAAGTATATTCTAAAGTCTCGTCAGATAATGAGCGCTGTAAGTTACAGGAAAATTTGGACAGTTTATGTGAATGGTCAAATACGTGGAAATTGAAATTTAATGCTGCTAAATGTAAAGTATTACATATTAATCCTGACAATGATCAACAATATCGTTATACCATGTTGGATGATACAGAAAATTTTATTGCGTTATCTAAGGTGAATGAAGAAAAGGATCTTGGAGTAACTTTCGAGTCAAATTTAAAGTTTGAAAAACATATTAGTACTATTGTTAATAAAGCACAGAGAGTTTTATCTCTTATTCATCATTCCTTTGACTACATGGATCAGGATATGTTTCTTACTCTTTATAAGTCAATTGTTCGTCCACTGTTGGAATATGCTACATGTGTTTGGTCTCCGCACCTTAAAAAAGATATTCGTAAATTGGAATCTGTCCAAAGAAGGGCCACTAAACTCGTAAAGAATATAAATCATTTAAGTTATGAAGATAGATTGCGCTCATTGGGATTGCCAACCTTGGAATATCGTAGGGATAGAAATGATATGATACAAGTATATAAAGCGTTGCATGGTATAGATGATATAAACTGGATGAGCTTATTTACTTTAGCACCATCTAATAATACTAGAGGTCACTCATTAAAACTCTTTAAGAAACAGTGTAAGACGACACATAGACTAAATACTTTTTCAATTAGAGTAGTGGATTAGTGGAATAACCTGTCAGATTTAACAGTGACGGCAGAGACTTTGAATAAATTTAAGTCAGCGTTAAATGGCGAGAATTGGAACCCATATAAATTTATATGTTCATGTTAATTGTTAAGCTGCGCACACCTAAATAAGTTCTATTTTTATAAGTATAATATATATAAATATATTATTATGCGTTTATTATGAGAGGAGAAATTGCATTACGATAATCCAAGATGAGGGGTCAGTAGAAGCCTTTGGCTTATTTTAAGGACCCGAAGATAAAGGTATAAAGGTATAAAGGTATAGATATCTTCCCATAATTGTATTTCAAATTCATTTACTTTATCCTGTAATTCCATTATGTTGCCTTTTCTTTGTATGATTTATGCAAATGCGTCATCTTTTTCGCAACCTGTAGCGTAAAACAACCCTGTGACCTATTACTTTAATTCATATTATTTTTCAACATATTAAAATATATACTAGTACTACATTTTGGCATAAAATACATTCTACAATTTTTGATTTATACTACCATACTACCGTAAGGATTTGAATATCTTTATAAAGTAAGACGAAATGATATGAGATATCTGTAAAAAAAAATACCTCACAAATTCCTTACCAAATTGAAACTTACTGATTAATATATCCCTGTTCTATGTTAGGGGAGGGTTGGGCTCTCAAAACATGTTTAACTCTACCACATTTTCCATGTTCCTGTACCAAGTCAAAAAACAGTAATTCTGTGGTTGTTGTTGGTTACTTGCTGTCTCCCAAATTAGTTTCGCGTTGATTTGTTTAGCTTAAACAAGGCCGTTGTTTTTTTTTCTTTCCTTATTTGTTTCACATTTTGTCATGTCGTAGTCTTTAATAACTCACTGTACAGTATTATTTTTTACTCATGGTTGAAGGTCGTACGATGACCTGTATTTGCTAATTCCTAGGGCTTTGATGGTGGTGACACGCTTTTGGATGGTGAATAAAGGGGTAAAAAGTGCATGAGGATGTGGGATGTAAGGGTTAAAAAAAGTAGAGATATGGGATCTAGGGGTTAAAAAATAGGATGTTGGGAAAAGAAGTGGGAAGTGAGAAAAAATACCAAAAATAGGATTTGAGAAATGGGCACCCGCTGTCACCCCTCTCTTTGGTTTTGATTTATAGTTGTTTCATTTGCTATCATACTTTTCTTATTCTTCTTATTTTCATATTAGCGCAGACTTAAGAATGTTATTGATAAATAGGTTTTAAAACTCATCCCTGCTAAACGTTTTTTGTGTAATACCATTGACCCAGGACTATTAAAAAATAAAACGTAAAACTTTAACAATAAACACCTATTTTTCTTAACAATCTGTGTTGTCCATTCCGAGTTATCTCTGATAGTTTACCTGCACCTGTAGAGCAATGGCGTATAGAACGTTGACATCGTTTCTACTAGTCTTTTTTTCCTATTCATCATGTCAAGGTGAGTGATCTTTCATATATCTGTAAGTAAAATTATGTCTTTTTTTTACAAATAATTCAAATTTGTATATCGCTTACTAAATTTTAATGACTTATTGCACTAAGAAGTTTATTTAGTTATGATTTTATCATGACACCAATCTTTGATTTTATAGTTCAAATTATCTGTGCATTGAGGGTTGTAATAAGATTGAATGAGCCATTGACTATTCTATTTATTTTACCCTTATTTTTCGAAACCCTGTTTTTTTAATATACAGTTAAATCATATTATGAATAGAACACGTTCACGAGAAAAAAAAAACTTTGTCAATATCAAACAGGAGAGTTTCTGGTTAAAACTTGAATAAATCTTTGAAGACCTATGGCATGAACAATCTCTATTTAAATCAGTATACACTTCTCTGGATGGTTTTTGGTTATTTGTGTCGTTGGATTACTGGTTAATACTCAAAACCTCTTTTTATTTATAGGAGATATTTTTTTTATTTTTTGTCATGTGTGAAATCTTACTATGCATTTTAAGTATGGTTAGTGTACCTGACCGTAATATTACATTATGTTCGAAAACTGTAGTTAACATTACCTTTAAATAATATTTAATTGCTGAGAACGCCCCTACTTAGTTATTGAAAGCTTTCATTTTGTATTAACCATGATGTCGCGGTGTAAATAAAATATACCCCATTGTGCTAACGCCTTTTTCTGTGTATAAATCTAGTACATATTTTTTAAGCAAAATTAAGTAACATAAAATGATTTGTGGTGTTAAGAAAGGACATATTAATAGATTATCGTTGATCATCTCAACGAGATTGATTTTCTCAGAAAAGTATTCGAGTTGAGATTACCAATGCTAATCTGTTTATCGCTATTTTACCTATGACGACGTTGTCAATTTCATGTCAATTTCATTAGCAACGGCACGTGCCCCCTAAGTTTCTATCGATAATTTTTATATCACTCGACTCCGCTGAGAAAGGAAATTATCAGTCAGTAAGATCAAAGGAAATTTTCGTAAAATAGCGATAAATAACATTACTTCATAATGTCTTAACACACATTCATGAACATACATAATACATGTACATAATATTATCGCGTAGTAGGTTGAATTATCTGTCAGTCAATGTGTTCTGAATAAAACCTGGCCAGATTATGTTTATTCCTGATTATCAATTTATAAACAATATATAATAAATGTTATTAAGATACTTTGCAGGATGTGAGGAAAACGACACGGACAGTAAATAAATAAATTCCATCTTATATCGTTTGCCTCGTCAAAAAGCAATTAAGTGTTCAACTGTAAAAATTGTTTGAGATTGTAGATGGGTATATGCAAGGATTTGTATAGTAAGATTACTATACAAACCCTTGGTATATGCTTATTCCACTGACCACATGATTAGAATAGTGAAAAAAAATAAGCAGATAAACATCCATGATTAAACTATAGATCATTAATTTATTAAAACATGTTTATAATCAATGCAAAGCCAATCAATACCCCATATGGTCGATTCAATCAAAGATGGGGATTCATTTCGCCATCATATTGTTACACAATAACTTTTTAACAATACCGCTGCCCTAACCAGTGTCCGAACTATTCGAAACAACCTAGAATGTCAGTTTTCCTGCATTCTGACAGGAACCGTACCATTATTTGTTGTTTGTTGATTGACGATATTTATCTGGTCAAGGTGGAAGGGGGGTCGTCTGAAATATTGGAACAATATGTAACTTACTCTCAATCAATCTATGAATTATTGCCAAAATTCAAGACATGATACAAAAGTCACAAGACTTTCTATCTAGTATAATAACCAACCTTCAACAGTTACAATAATATAAGTTATATGGTTCGCTACTGACCCCCTACGGATCCATAGAGGGTTTATAAAATCCATGGGGGATGAGGCCGAAGGCCGAATCTCCTATGGATTTTAAATACCCTCTATGGTCCGTAAGGGGTCAGTAGTGAACCGTATAACGAATTTATCGCACGCGGGACTTTTTCTGCTGCGTTTTGTAGAAAAATAAACAATGAAACACAACAACATTAATAGATGACGTCACCATTAACAGTTGACGTGACGTCATGTTACCCCCCCCCCCCCCTTATGAAATTTACTAACACCCTACGGATCCATATGGGGTCACTACGTGACGGCGTTAATTTAATATGTTCTTGTCCTAATGTGCTTGAACTATTATGCAATGGACATGACACACCGATTGATCCAACACAACCTTACATGACTGCATAATCATGCATCCTGTAAATCACACAACCAAGAGCTGAAGTACATGTTCTTCATTAGAGAGTCTCTACAGAACGCCCAAATCAATCCTACTAAGAGCCCAAAATAAGTCTTCGTAAAAAAGAGAGTCTCTACAGAACGCCCAAAAAAATGTTCACAATAAACACCCATTTTTCTCAAAAATCTGTGTTGTCCATCCCGAGTAATATCTGATAGTTTACCTGCACCTGTAGAGCAATGGCGTATAGAACTTTGACATCGTTTCTACTAGTCTGTTTTTCCTATTCATTATGTCAAGGTGAGTGATCTTTCATATATATATATATATGTAGGTAAAATATATCTTTTTTTACAAATAAAGCACATTTTTATATCGCTTACTAAATTTTAATGACTTGTTGCATTAATAATAGAATTTAGTTGTGAAAATATCATAACACTAATATTTGATTGTATAGTTCGAAGTATCTGTGCATTGAGGGTTGTATCGAGATTGAATGAGCCATTGACTATGCTTTTTATTTTACTCTTCTATTTAGAAACACTGTTTTTTTCTTCTAATATACAGTTAAATCATATTATGAATAGAACACGTTCACGAGTAAAAAAAATCAATATCAAACAGGAGAGTTTCTGGTTAAAACTTAAATAAATAGTTTTAGACCTATGGCATGAACAATCTCTATTTAAATAAGTATATACTTCTCTGGATGGTTTTTGGTTATTTGTGTCGTTGGTTTACTGACCTCTTTTTATTTATAGGAAATATTTTATTTTTTTGTCATGTGTAAAATCATAATGTGCATTTTACGCATGATTAGTGTACCTGACCGTAATATTACATAATGTTCGAAAACTGTAGTTAACATTACCTTTAAATAAATGACTGCATAATCATGCATCCTGTAAATCCACAAAATAAGCATTAAATCACACAACCAAGAGCTGAGGTACATGTTCTTCAGAAGAGAGTCTCTACAGAACGCCCAAATCAATTATACTAAGCGCCCAAAATAAGTCTTCGTAAAACAGAGATTCTCTACAGAACGCCAAACCAATTATACTAAGCGCCCAAAATAAGTCTTCGTAAAAAAAATATCAAGGAGGTGTACTCAGTTTATTTGTAGCAAACTGTGCTAAAAATCAAATGTTGTATGTAGCATTGACAATTTCAAACAAATTAATATTATATTTCAATTGAATATCCTATATATTTGTGATTCTTTCTAGTTCATTCCCATACCAAAAAGGAAACTATACCGCCTTGTTCAAATACCAATTACAAAGTTCTGTAAATGTCCCATAGATCCACTCCAAAAACCAAAGAATGTAAAGAAAATTGATTTGTTAAATAAGCGAGCATTTAAAATATTACTATAATTAAAGTATAAACGTCGTATTAATCAGAATATTTGATTTTTAATTTTTTTTTTATAGGACGAATAGATCCTCCCGAGACAGACTGGGACAAACTCGCTACTGACAGTTTAAACAAGGCACTCAAACTAACATACAATACTAATTTGGCGAAAAACATTATCTTATTCATTGGAGATGGAATGGGCGTGTCCACCGTTACTGCAGCCAGAATATATAAAGGTCAGAAACAAGGCCATCCTGGCGAAGAGACGATTCTGAAATTTGAAGAATTTCCTAATGTGGCATTGTCAAAGGTAGGTACGTGACCAATAATTGATGCTATGTTGTTGATCATGTAAACCAGTATTCCTGCCATTTAAACGAAAAATAAAAATGGTTTTGATAATTTAGTCAGACAAATACCATAACTTTAGGGATTTTAAATCGTAATGGTAGATATGCAAGTCGCTATTATCAAATTCTAACGCAACTTAGAGTTGTTTATTTCAAACTTAAACAGGTTAACAGACTAGAATAGCAAAGAATTGTCAAAGTAGAAACAACTATTCTGCTTTAGGAAAGGAAAAAACATACGAAGAAAAAAGCACTCTGATGTTTTTTAAATCAGAATCAATATGCTTGATTTTTTATTGACAACATTCATGTTATGCTCGGTGGAAATGTTTTTCAACAGACAGTCGACATTCCAATAGAAACTACCGGTGTGCCTCTTCCCGACGGCATGTTCCCTTTTTATATCGCAGAGAAATGAAAAGAAGGTCGCATTTATTTAGCATACATCATTTCCTGCTCTAACTATAATGCACTCTGACTGAATTAAAGTTTGATGGATTCATCTCTCACACAAATGTTTAACCTGCCATATTCTGCATAATTTTTATACTTGACAGAATTCAAGAACCTTTAATTCAGTATTCTTCATGTGACTGTTTGAATTCAAGAACCTTTATATCAGTATTCTGCATATACCTTTAATTCAGTATCAGTCGTATGCCTGTCTGAATTCAAGAACCTTTATATCAGTATTCTGCATATACCTGCCTGAATTTTAGAACCTTTAATTCAGTATCAGTCGTATGCCTGTCTGAATTCAAGAACCTTTAATTCAGTATTCCTCATATGCCTGTCTGAATTCAAGAACCTTTAATTCAGTAGTTGTCGTTGATCATTTTTGTTTTTTTGTTTTTTGTTTTTGTTTTATTTTTTGTTTTTTGTTTTTATCATAAATTAGGTTATTAATTTTATGATATGAGTTGTTTTAATGTTGATTATGCTGCAGCCTTTAATACTATACGGTATATGTTTTGTCCATTGTTGAAGGTCATTCAGTGCCTTACAGTTTTTTACATCTTCGTCACTTGGTCTCTGGTGGATAGTTATCTTGAGGCAATCATTTGCCAAATCTCCTTATTTCTATGTATTTGACTTAAAAATTTAAATCCAATTAATTGAATGACATATCTTTGTGACATCTGAATTCAATTGCATATTTTCAAAAGTATTCTTCGTCTACTTGTTATTTCCGTATAGAAAGTGGGGAATAATGTATGATACATTTAAAGTTCCTAGCTTATTTTGTCAGTTATGGTGTAATGTTACTACAATAAAAATCTAGTTTTGGTATTACTTACTTTTACTTATCCTCTTCATCCCCAGTGGGACATAAGGCCACACCAAACTGCCTCCACTTCTCTCTGTCCTTAGCCATGTACTGGGCTTGGCCCCAGGTGTATCCCATTGCTTCCAATTCTGCTGTAACAGTTCTTCGCCAGGTGATTCTAGGTCTCCCTGGTTTCTATTTTCCTAGTGGTGTCCAACATAGAGCTGTTTTAGGTGTGCGGTGTTGTGGCATTCTCATTACATGACCTAACCATCAAAATCTTCGTTGTTTGATTTCTGCTGTTATGCTCTTAGCATTTCTCCAAAAGGCTCTGTTATTCTGTTGATCTTTCTTAGGCAGCTAGTACGGAATGCATCTACTTTTTGAAGGTCACTAACTAAAACACGCCAAGTTTCTGAACCATACAGTAGGACAGATTTTACATTGCTGTTGTATATTCGTAGTTTGGTCCTTAAACTGTACTGGTTGGACTTCCAGATTGTATGAAGTCTTGCAAATGTTGCACGTGCCTTAGATAGTATTGCCTTTATATCCTTTCCTGCCCCATTTTCTTTACTTATGATGCTGTCAAGGTAAGTGAAATCTTCAACACTGTCCACTGGCAGATCACTGATTGTGATTTGTGTTGAATTTCTAGTGTTTATTGACATTACCTTGGTCTTCTTGGCATTAACATTCAGTCCAGTTTACTTTGCATAGTTATTAAGTATGTTGGTCTTCTCCTGGAGGTGTTCACTTGTTGTTGATAATATGGCAATGTCATTAGCAAAATCAAGGTCTTCTAGCTGGTTAAACATGGTCCACTAGATACCCCTTTTCTTGTCTGATGTTGTATGTCTTTGTATCCAGTCAATAGCCAATAAATATAGGTTTGGTATAGCTATTGAGATCCTGCGAGAACCTTTTTGACTGATGTCTTAATGTAAAAGGAATTATCAATCTTTACATTCTTAAAAATTCTTTAACAAATGAATTCACCATGACCTTAGATACGCAATATCATTTCATATGTAAACAACATTGTAAAAACAATTTTTACCCAATATATATTACCATTGAGATCACCTGATATTATATCCGGTTTTAGTTCATATTGCGCAAGCTTTTATTTTTAGTATAGTATTAAACAAATTTTATTCGTGTGCAAACTTTGATTAAAGTATGCATTACTGAATAGAAAAAAAATGGGAGGAATATCAAGATATTTATTCAAATCTTGGGTAAAAAATCATTTTAATACACACGTTAAGTAAAGGCAACAGTAGTATACTGGTGTTCAAAAGTCATAAATCGATTGAGAGAAAACAAATCCGGGTTACAAACTAAAACCGAAGGAAACACATCAACTATAAGAGGAAAACAAAGGAACAACAGGAACACTGAAGAGCAACAAAAACAAACGCCAACATACATAGAAACGAACTATTTGATAACAACCGCCATATTTCTGACTTGGTACAGGACATTTTAAGAAAAAATGGTGGGTTGAACCTGGTTTTATGGCTAGCCAAACCTTCCGCTTATATGACAATGTTAAAAAATATCGCTAAAACGACAACACTACGTGACAGAAATACAACACAAACACACACAAGAAAACTCATCACAGAAAAACGCACAAACAAATAATATAATTGTCGACACAACGTGCAAACCGCAGAACAACAACGAACATCTTTCATCAACCACAGGACATCACAAACAGTGACGCACTTACGTAACGAACATGCAATCTCGACCTTTATACAATTATTTTCACAATACCAGTCCAAACAATTTTCTGATGGTATTAAAAATTTATGTAAAACCACACAATTTTTCTTCATTTTTACATATCATTGACAAAGAACAAATACTTATCAATTATGAACTTTTACGAGGTCAATACGTTATATTTTGACATGTTCAGTTTATATTGAACAAGACGCAGTCCGAGTGATAATATAATCTAACAGGTCCATATATAACGTCAGGGCTGTTACTACATTGAGGCAAATGAGGCAAATGCTTCATGTTGGAAATTTCCAACAACAAAAAAATAACTAGTAAACGGTCATATATGGTTTGGCATTGTTACATGCCCACCGATGCCCAGATATCCGATGCCCAGATATTTTTCGAGAAAATGTTTTGAGGAGATACGATGCTACCGGACATAAAAACATTTGTCGTTTTTTTCATGAAAAATCAAACTTAATATAAAAGAATACAAAACTGGCTCTCTTTTCTGTAGGTAAAACTTAAAAGCTGACATGGTTTAATTAAAGTGAGACAACCCAATCTCCCCGAATCAGATTTTTTAAAAAGAAATCAAAGTTCTGAAGTACATCGGATGACCGCAAGTTCTTGTGGATGGTCAAAAGCACTTGTCTCAGAAAAAAATCACATCTTTATACCTGAAACTGAGGTTAATGTACAGAGATTATTTTTTTCTGAGACAAGTTCGTGCGTGGATGATGAATAAATCACAGGAAATTCAATCTCATCGCAATAACTATTATATTGTAGTGATACAAATCAGTATACTCTGGTTTGTTGTTATATATTATATTAATATAACAGTTACATGTATATATAATTTTCATCCATTTGTATATCATTCTATTCTACTATTCTAATAATAGTGCAGTGCAAGTGTATGGTGGACACTCTTCTGTAAAAATTCGATTTTTCTAATAGATTGGATTTGAGTAGGATTTCATATTTTCCCGCAAAACCAATCTTCCATGCAGAGTTATCGGTCCTTGCTCTGAGAGAGAGCAAGGACCGATAACTCTGCATGGGAGATTGCCGCCAAAAACGTTATTGAGATATTCTTCCGTATGCGTTAACACAGTTTTTCGGTACGTGTATGAAACGCGGAAACCGCATTAATAGATAATTACAGTTTATCGGGGATAATGATAGTTTATCGGTCGATCATTATAGATAGTCGGCGTAAAGTATACTTTACGGTCGACCATCATAGATGATCTAATTAATGTGACTCGCGCGCAGGTAATGATGGTTACTTTTTTGATAATGCATTAACGATCGATAATGTAAATTTTTTGGATAATGATAGTTGACCTCGACCAAGTGAATTAAAACACGAGTCGTAAATTCAATAACTTGAATTAAAACCTGAAAAGCTTGCCGATTGTAAAATCGATTTTGAGTGGCGGTCAACTTTTTTCTACTTTCGCTTTTGCGAATTGATGTACGCAGCATGGAAACAACAATCTATACGTTTTTGGAGGTGAGTGACAGCTGTTAATAATATCTTATGTTATTTAGAACATAGTTTCTGTAATTTGTAATACTTATTTTCATTACACCTAAATATATAGACCTGAATCAAGCGATTTTCCTAAATTCCTTGACAGGTCAACGTCAAAAGACCAAGGTATCTTGTTGTCACCAGGCATTTAGCATTTGACCCTATGTGCCTATAAATTGTGTTTGTGTTATGGGGAAGGGGGATTTTGAAATTATTGAATTATCGATGCTGGCAATTACCGAAAATAAGTATCCGAGTACAGTAACAAGCCCCTGTGACAGGATGAAACAGTTTAAAAAGAAATAATCTACAGGACAACAAAGGCAGTCTGACTAGACCCAGTCCCTACTAACAGCAGTGGATAGAAGTTGTAGTCACTTCAACTTGAAAGTAAATAATAAATGTTTCGTATGATGTATTCTTTCTAATTTGCAATTCAAATGAGGGCTTTGACTCCTTTTTCATGCTTCTGGTATGCGGTTAACGATTGAAAAATAAGGAACAAGAAAACACACCGGGACTGAAAAACACAAAACAGCCCAAGGTCACCAAAGGGCCTTCTACACAGCCAGAAATCCAGCAGCCAGAGGCTTGCTTGAGCAGGCCCCGAAACACTAATGTATACTAGTTCAGGAAAATAGACGCCACTCTACACTCCGAAACATAGATATGAACCAAAATTAAAAAAAAATACAAGACTAACAAAGGCAAGAGGTTCCTGACTTAGGACTGGTGCAACAATGCTGCCGACTTAAACGTGTTTACTTTTGTGAGATCTCAACCTTCCCCCTATAAGCATGATAAGTACATTTTAATAAACTTTAAAAAAAAAACTTTAAATATCCCTTATCAATTAAAAAAAGCCCTATACTTATAAAAAAAAGTTAATGTTTCAAACATATAAAATTTATCAAGAGTAGGCCGAATGGAAAACTATAGTTTTTTTAAAAGAGACTGAACTGTTAGACCACTTGCTACCTGGGAGTAGACCCTGCTAATACCTACAGTTGTCTAATAAACATAAATATAATTTTATGGTATATGTACTGTATTGTACTGTAAATTAAATTTTGTAAAGCCGTGGTCTCTGAAGTAATAACAATGTTCAGAAATACAAGTAGGAGGTAAACAAGTAAATTGATGGCTTTTATGAGCATAAAATCTTGAAAACTTTCTGAACCAAGTATGATGAACAATTCTTGTAGTATAAGTAATATCACTGTTCCAAAGTTCATCAAAGCTTGATTTTTGACCGTGTACTTTTGAGCTATTCTTAAATATAAACAAATGATCTGAAGAAAAATCAGACTATGTATAAACATCACTTATATTACATATATGTGCCCATTAAATTATTTACATTTTTTACTTTTTATATGCTATAATGTGACTTTTTCTGATACATGTATGCATTAAGAATCTACCATCTAAATAAATGTGACCTTTTTTTTTCTGTGCATTCAAACATTTATTTGATTAATATATTTCATACATGTATATTATGACTTTTTCTGCTCCATTTAGAAAACTTTACTCTGTCATATATTACTACTTTTATCTTGTGATTTTTTTTCCTTGACATTGTACAGTGACTTTTTCCCTATAGTATTTGTGACATTCTTGCTTGTGACTTATCATTTTAACAAAATTTGAAATCATATCAAAATAGTTTTTTCCTTTAGTTTAGTTCAACTTAAGAATTTTATTTTATGCACAAACTGAAATGTCATTTTTAGCTCACCTGACCCAAAAGGTCAATGACACATTATTGACCCTTAAGTAATTTAAAGTCAATTTTTAAACAATTTTTCGTAAATTTTTGTAATCTTTTACAAAAACCTTCTCCACTTAATCTACTCGGCCAAATAGAATTAAACATAGCATCAATTTTCAATAGGGTATCTTGATTGAAAACTGATGCGATGACCATGCTCTCCAACCAACATGGCCGCCATGACTAAAAATAGAACATAGGGGTTTACCATAGAAGTCTATGGGAAAATTGTAAAAAACATAATTTTAAATGGTCAGAACTTGAAAACTAATTCAAATAATGATAAGTGGTCATCGGTAACTATTGTAAGACTACAATGGGATGACTTGATTTTTTTTTCCAAAGGGAGGGGATGCAATTTTTTCAGGGGGAAGGGTGCTTATTATTTCTGCTTGATATTTTCCATTTTCAGAATTATTCAGTGTTACTTTTCTATAAACCATTATATCGTCTCTTTTAGCATACTTATATCGGGTGAATGTCCCCAGACCTGGCGGGTTAGCCGGGTTCAGGGGGTGCCCTGTCCAAATTTTTTTCCCACAAAACATTTCCAGCATTATACAGGGCCTGGGTGAAATAATTTTTTCAGAGGAGGGATATTCAATTGGTGTTCATGACAACATTCTTTTGCAATGCTATCTCGTTTAATGGAAATTTTGCGGTTTTTGTTAATTATCCCCGATAAACTGTGATTATCTTATTTAGGTGGTTCCCGCATGCTATATGTATTGCATTAATGCATGGTGAGTCATAAATGTCACTTCTGTTTAACCTTATTATTTTACGTTCACAAAATGTGGACACAGACGTGTGCTGTCTGATAAACGAATTCTAATAATGACATGAGCAAGTGCAAATTCTGGTGGGTGCAAGAAGGCGCATATGCAACTTTAAAATCTTAAATTATGTTGTGTTGTCTAGTGGGTGAATATGAACACTGTTTTATATTGAAAAAAAATTATACAGATTGTGCCAAAAGTACCAACATACTAACAATGAA